GTGCTTAATAATTTTCTTCTAATAGTGGAAACTATTTTGTACTACTAAGTAGGAACTTGGGTAGGCACTGGCGTTATTCCAAACATTATTCCATAGCACAACAGCAGCCTTCTGCAGCGAGCAGTGCCCTACACTGCTGCAGAGCATTCTACAGTGCAACACCATGCAATTCCATTTACCTGAAGCTTTTGGGTCTCAGGAGACACCTCCCTGGCAAACGAGGGAAAAGATGAGCTCCAGAAGACACGTCAGGCAAAAAGACCTCCTAACGATGTCTGTGGTGTATTTCCCATAGAGCCATACCTTCCAATTCTGTTTTCTTCAAATTAAGTGGTTTAGAAGCTCATAAATATATGCCCCAATATACTGTGGCCTTCAAGTATCACTAGAGTATGGCACACACTGTGTTTAAGAAAAGCTGAATTACTCAGAACACTTATCTACAGCAACTTCGAATTTTGCAGCTGAAGATGCTCCATTCTCAAGATGCTTAAGATCATGCTTGTATGAATCCATGTATTTTCCAATTGCCAGGAACGCTGTCTTAAAAAAAAAATTATTGCCCTTAGTTTACTATGACAAAGCAAGTAGTCATCGTCCTATGCCTAACTGCTTTGAAGTCATCAGGTACCCCGTTTTGCCCTCAAGAGTGAGCAGGAAGTCTAAAATAAGCAGCTTCATTCTCATTCCTTTGCTTGCTTTCTCTTCCCACACCACACAGGCTTGCGTGACCTTCCAACTCCCTCCCTCCACTGCGATGTAACCTTTCCTTCTCTTTCACCCACCTCGGTCAGTGCCACATCCTCTTAATATAACAGCTTTACCAACAGCCAAGAGCCACGAACCACCTACAAAAGACAGTTTGGGCACACGGAAGTACAGAAATATTTAATCTTGAGGTTCAATGACCAACAAATTTGCAAACCGGAATGCAAACCAAGGTCTAGTTTTCAAGTCCTCCCAGTGCTTTTCTGTGTGGTAGCAGCCGGCAGCTAGTAGCAAGCCCTCAAAACGCGAGCGTTCGGATAGAAGACACTCGGGCCTGTGAGAGGGCGGGCCTGTCCCAGGGGGGCCAAGGGACGAGTGGGAACGGGGCTGTGGGATTATCGGCCACAGCCTACCGCAGGGCGTCCGCGCGTCGAGCCGACACCTCTGTGTGCCGCACAGATCCCTCTGCTCTTGGCTGAGCACATTTTCCGAGCACGCACAAACCAAGAGCTTTGAATCAGCGTAGCTCCCAACAAGCAGGCCCGATTTCTCCGTGCTGTCATCTCGAAACCACCGCCCAGCAGGCCGTCACCCCCGCCTCCGAGGCTGCCCTGCCGCCACAGCCCACTCACGGGGCCTGGCAGCCCCTGACGAGTC